TTATATAACAACTTTTTTTTAATTTTGGTTATGTAAAAATTAATGCTGCAACTTATTTCTTAAACTCGTGATGAATGGGGTATTTGGACCAAAAGTTGTTTGTAGTATTCAAACCTAGCACCCATTTTTTTTATAAATGGAATAACATCAATAAAACTGTATTAAACCAGCAATATATTTTTCTAAAGTCAAATAGATTGTAATAGTAAAAAGCAAATCTCTTTTAATATAATATTTATTTCTCAAACATACTACAAACACTCTAATATGATATACTATATATACTTATAATTTATGAACCAATAACTTTTTATGAATATCTAATCTAAAAACAAGACATTTAAAATAATCTACTTTCAAGAATATCACTCTAATTCTAATACTCTTTACTTTCTACCCAAATTTATTAAATTGTGTGCTCTTGTTCATCTATTAAATTGTTTATTTGTCTGAAATTACACACAAGTTACTCTACCACTTTCAATCTGTAATTTCTTTACTTCTATAAAAAATTCTCAACATGATCTTCCATCTTTTAGCAACCTTAAGTTATATATTCTAAATCATTGTTCAGTTAAATACAGCATAACAAATCACATCACAAACCAATGCATAAAATCATGAAATAATTTATCATTTTTTATTCATAGAATAATTTATTTTTTATATTCACTTTATATCACTAAACTTTACTACTAAAACTCATCTTTATGTATTTTTATTTTGGAGAAATGTAATTACTGTTCGTAATATGTAAAAGGCTCATTGTGGGTTATTATTATTGCTTTTGGTATGATTATATGTATTATAAATATCAACATTATTTTACTTCTATTCATATCACTATTACTTATTGTTATTGTTTAATATTAAATTTAATATTTATCAATATTATTGTTACTATTATTATTGTTATTATTATACTAATATAAGTATAATTGTTAACATTGCTGACCTTGTTATAATTGTTTAAATATTGTTATTGCCATTATTATGCAATTGGTTTTTACTTAAGTATTAGCACTATTTCTAAATATCCATGTGTATGTTGCATACATACACACATATATGACATACGTATGTGTGTTTTCTTTTTAGCAACTGCAAGTTTCCAAATACATGCAAAATAAAGTAAGTAAAGAAAACAATACTTTTCAATTAGTAAACTTAGTATTATTAATTAATTTTGTTTTTTACATTTTGTATCCTTATTTTTATAACATAATCAATTACAGGGGTGGGACCGCAAAATGTGAACGTTTTTGTTTTATTATAACTATTTTCTCGTTAGATGTAGTTGTACTCTCTCACTCATCAGAAAGTGTCTAAAGAGTTGGTCTAAACGTTGTAAAATGATCTACAAGAATCAAGGAGGTCAAATTAAACATTTAAAATAGTTCATATTTAACAGAAAATTAATTATTACAATCAGAAAAGTGTTCACATTTTGCGGTCCCACCCCTGTAAAATGCACCAGAACAAAGTTCTGGTGCATTTTAATTGATCTAAGTTTATTTAAGTATCATTTTGGACTTTGCAAATGACGGATGTTTTAACTTAACGGTGAAAAAAAGAAAGAAAAAAAGAAGAATTAAAAAAAACATAAAATAGTTTAAAAGATATTTGAAAATGAAGTTAAGTAAAATTAAAATAAATAAATAACAATGAAAAGAAAGACAAAAAAAAAAAAAAAAAAAAGAAACAAAAACAAAAAACAATAAACTAGTTAAAAGAAAAAATGTTCAAAAATAGAAAATAAAAAGAACTACAGATTTTTCTTCAAGCAAAAAAAGTATAGATTTAAAAGAACGAGTAAAAAGAACAATTTTAAATTTTTTTAATAATTTGAACATTATTTATATTGTCATGTATTTTTGAGTATTGTTTGTTTGTCGTGTATGAATGGTCAATATATTTTCATGTTTAAATTTTCCTTTTGTCGAGTTTGCTGTTATGTTTGTGTTGTTATTTGTATTGTTGTTGCTTCTTATATATGTTGTCGTTTACTGTTTTTAACTAATACATGTAACGTGTTGTATATTGTATGTAGAAGTGTATAAAGTATACTTTTTATTTAAATATTTGTATCTTTATTTTTTTTATTTATTTTGCTTATTTGTGTTTGTTAACAATATTATTTTCTCTCAGTCTCTTTCTTCGAAGCTTATCTTATTAAACATGTGTTATCTAAAACATTCAATCTCTCTTATGTCATCTTATTCGCTAATTCTCTCTGGTTTGTTACTGTTTTTATGATATTATACCAATTTTTAATGATTTTTATTTTTTTAACTTCTTTTGTTTAGTTTGCTATCTTTATTGTCTTTAGGTCTCCATCTTTTTTATTTTTTATTATTTTATGTTTGGTTAGTTGAAAGATATAATAGTATTTTTGTTTTTTGATTTAATTGTTTATTTTGTTAAGGTAAATAATGGTATTTTTTTTTAATTTGTGATTTCATATATTTATTGGATAAAATGTAATAGTGTTTCAAAATCATAAATCCTTTTTTAAGTGAGAAGGTATTTTCAAAACTGCCATGTCCTCTAATAGGTTATTCTATAAGTTTTCTCTGCTTTATAAAGTTGTATGCTTTTTTTATTATTATTATTTAATTCAGATTGTTGGCGACATAGCTCATGTATTAAAGTCTTCTGTCACAGTTGACTCAGCAAGAATGAAGACATTGATACATTTTTGAATTATGGAATACACAAGTTGGCAGTTTCTCGCCCACTGCCACCCAAATACAGGTAAGTATGCATGCATACACAACCCTCAAAATTAGAAAACTGATAAATTGTCAATCTTAAACTTTTTAGGTTGGCATCAGATTACAATCGGCAAACATAAAGCCATTTTTACAAAGGTTTTACTATAAATTCATTTATATTTTGCTCAATTTTTTAATAAACAAAATGTTCAAAAGATTTCACTTAAGAAAAGAATCTAAGAGGTTTGCAAGACAAGAAGTAATTAAAAAAATATTTTTTTAAATCAATTCCTCCATCTATATAATTATTTAAATATAACAATGGACTCTTGATCATCTTGATACGAATAGTAAAAAAAGAAAAAATCAATTTCTGTCTATAAGTTATCCAGTTTTTCGTTAATTTCTTAAAATCAATTTACTTGGACTTAGTACCTTTTGAAAATTCACTTCTCATATTGTTGTTAACCCTTAAAATTTTGCGTTGAATTTCAACATGTTTGTTTAAACGTGTTTAAACAAACGTGTTGAAATTTTTATTTTATACTTCATATATTTTCATGAATATATAAACTGACAAAATAGCAATAAAAACAGGTCGATACGACTTAAAATGTCTTAATGATTAATAATGATAAATAATGAAAACAGGCGATAAGACTTTATATGTTTCTTCTAGCTACGGGTATCTCTTAAATATTTGCAAAATTTATCGTATTGTAGATAATAATATATTCGGCAAATAAATAACTAAATAAAATATGTATGAATTTAAGGATATATCCTTCTATATATGGCGCGCTTCTATAGAAGCGCGCCATACATATGATTTTTTAAGAGGTTTTGGACATACATATGATTTTTAAAGAGGTTTTGGACATACATATGATTTTTTAAGAGGTTTTGGACATACATATGATTTTTTAAGAGGTTTTGGACATACATATGATTTTTTAAGAGGTTTTGGACATACATATGATTTTTTAAGAGGTTTTGGACATACATATGATTTTTAAGAGGTTGAGTACGATAAGAGCATCCTATTTATTTATATGATTCCAATTCGTATTATAATCAATTTAGAGATTATTTTTGAAAATCCTTTTTTTTAACTCAACATTATTAAAATATTTATTAAAATTTATTTTTAGTTTTTGAATGAAAGTTTGGAAATTTTGTAAAACGAAAAACATTTTATTTATAAATTATTACCACTGTAAATAATCAATACGGTTATCAATTTATAGTAACTGTATAGTAAGAATATTGTAGAACTGCCACTAGTACTTTAGCAGTTACTCAAAAAAAATTTTTTGAGTTAATGTTGTTTAGATGTAGTTAGAAAACAAATTTATCTGTGGTGGAATGGTCCTTTGAATGCCATAACTGGACCTAGATATATAGTGAAGCAGATAAATTAATTCATGCTTCAGTATTTATGCCTACATAATTTCCTTGCAAACTATCAGTACAAGAGAAGTTTGAATAACCCAAGGCAATATAATAGAGATAGCTTGGTGTGTATTCTGGTAATGCATTTCTAAGTAATGTTTTGGAAGCTCTTTTTTAAGACAATTATGTCCTTTTTTCTTGAAAAGAGAAAAAGACGAACTTGATTAGTCTTTTTTTCTTTTCAAAAATTCTTTCTCTTTGTATGGAATTGAGGTTTTAACTTATAATTGCATAGGTTTTCCACACTTATACCAAGACATAAAAAGAATGAAGTCTTAATCCACGACTTAAGAGTATGGAGAGAACCAAAGTCTATATATTTATTGTAGAACCAATATCTATATACTATATATATATATATATATATATATATATATATATATATATATATATATATATATATATATATATATATATATATATATATATATATATATATATATATATATATATATATATATATATATATATAGTATATATATAGTATATATATATATATATATATATATATATATATATATATATATATATATATATATATATATATATATATATATATATATATATAGTATATATATATATATATATATATATATGTATATATATATATATATGTATATATATATATATATATATATATATATATATGTATATATATATATATATATATATATATATATATATATATATATATATATATATATATACATATATATATATATATATATATATATATATATATATATATATATATATATATACATATATATGCACACACATATACTGATTATATAAATATGAAACATGGAATATATGAAATAAGAAATACAGCAATCATTTATCTCATTTTATTTACACAAAATATAAAGTAAAAATAAATATAATTAATCCAGCGATAGTTATTTGCTCTAGTTGCGTGGCTTTACTTGGTTGACTTTCTAAACGAAAAAAATTAAAGTAATATAAAAGAATTAAGTAAAAGTAAAAAGTGGGAAACGTGTGAAGATGGTAATTAAGTATCATAAAGCGAGTAAGAGTAAAAGAATAATTATTTTTATTAAAATAAACACATTTTTAAATATTCAAGAAATAACCTTAAACTAATGTAATTTATGTTTTTGTAATTTTTGTAATTTGTTTATTCATTAAACGTTAACTAACAAAAATATTTGTTAAAATAATACTCTCTCACCACCCCCTTTTTCTTCTCATACAAAGTAACTCTTTAACTTTATTTACCTATTTATGATTTTTTTTTACCTCCCATTAATGAAATTACAATTAAAGTTAATTATATTAAAATAGTTACTAGTTAAATTAAGACCATCCAAAACAACACAGCTCTCAAAGTTGTTAGTATTTAATAGTAACAACTAGATGGTGTGTTTTCCACAGTTAATGGGTTTAGCTTTCTAGGAATATTCTCCTCCATCAAAATTTTAAACATTGCTCTTTTAAATTCCATAACTGGAAGATTCTTTTGTTACAACACCAATATGTAGTTCCTATTATAACGCAATGGAAGAAGTTTAAACCGAGAATGTTACATGTAGCAATGCCTTCGTTTGAAAAAATATTTTTTATATTGTTTTGCCAGTAGTTGATTTAATATCAATAAACAGAAAGTATGACTTTTCAACAGCCTGATAAATAGATATAATTTATTTCGAAGGGGAATAGTTGAAATTTTTTTTATTCAAAAAAATAAATGCAGGTAATTTTTACCATAATTCGAGATTCAAAAAAATGATTTTAAAACTGCTTTTCCAACCGCGTCTATGTTGCTAAGGAAACTGATGTCATAGCTCAAGACCATAAATAAGCTTTATACTGTTAAGAAGTTGTATAAATAAACTATTGTTGACGGATGGCAAAAACGAATTCTACTGTCAATTAGAGCTATTGCAACCGATTGAAACTTATGGTGTCAAATAAGGATGTTTTACAAAAAAATTATAGTTTTTGGAGCTTGGGAACAATAATTCCCTCAATATTTTTGCCCTCTTGATCACTATCAAGAAAAATTATATTTTAGAAAAAAAAAAATTGGGTAATTACAAATTAACGAGACTAAATTTGACAGCTCATAACTTTTGAACGTGCACCTTTTTTTAAAATGCGGCTTGCATGGTCTGATAGCATCATTTTTTCTTTTTGAGCACCAAGTCACATATTTTGATTGTTTAGAATTTTTATTTTATACATTAAAAATTGAATAAAAGAGTTTGATTGAGCGCGTGTACAAGTACTGCGAATTGCATCCAAATTTTTCAGAAAATCAAACGGGAATCACTCTATTGATAAAAAAAAATCCAAAAGCCACAGTGTGTCGACATATTTGAATGCAAAGTGGTTTTCCATATAATCGTTGCTCGGGACAAGGTAGAAGGGCCATAAATGTGACAAAGAAATAAAAAAATATCAGGCGTCAGAAAAAGTGCATTGACTCATAAATTGGCAACCAAATTTGGTTACGATTAGTTTCACATTATTCTAACTATCCAACAAAAAAATTATCATAAAAAGCAACAGATTCCTGATCGATCAAAAATCAGCTGAGAAAATACTGCAACCTCGTTGTGATCTACTGCAACCTCGTTGTGATCTACTGCAACCTCGCTGTGATCGCATGTGCAGAAAATTTCGTGGTTGCGAATTCATTTTGGATGAGAAATCCTATTTAACTTTTTCTCATTTGAACAAAAATGCTTATGTCAGTACTTTTTGGCTAGCGCTGTCACCAATGTTCTCTAAGATGTTAAATACAAAAAAAAATATCGAAATTTAAGAAAATTCTTGTTTGGTTGGCAATTTTTGCTTACGAACTTTCTAATGTTTTATTTGTTTTTTTTTATTTATTTTTTTTACTTTATTAGCTTATAAATCATTGTTCGCAATTATGAAAAAAAAATTCCAGTAGAGGTACCACTGCTAAAGGCACAATCCTGGAAGCAGTGAGAGCTATAAGGTTAAGTGAATGAAGTATACCCCAAGTGTCTCTAGATTTTAACATCAACTGTAGAAGCATTTGCTTCTTGCTTAGAATTCTGTTTGTCAAAAGCCTCTACATAGGAAATTGAAAAATACCTTCATTTTATACTTGCTAGATGCAACCTAAGTTTGTAGAATGTATAGTATCGGACAAAACAAGTGCAACCAAATAATGCTAATTTAGTTTCTTTATATAAAAGTGCTGCATTTTTTCAATTTAGAGAAATAACTATTAGAGACAACGTTCTTCTAGTTTTATTCTTTACAAAGTTCATTATTTGTACAAGAAAATTAATAAATTAATAAAAAGTATTAAAAAAAGATGATTTCCTTCTGGACAAAACAGGTGCAACTCCACAAAATGTAGACCAAGCTGTATTTCGCTATCAATATTTCGTGGCAAATCCTTTGTTGTCGATCACAGCCTTGCATCTTCGATGCATAGACTCGATCAGGTGATCAATGAAACTATGTGAAATTGCTGTCCAGGCCTTTTGGATTTGTTCAAACAGTTCATCCTTATTACGAACACCTTCACGATTAATTCTGCGGTTGACGATCTCCCACAGGTTCTCGACAGAGTTGAGATCCGGAAATTGAGGCAGCCAATCCATCACCAATAGATGGTTGTCTTGAAACCACTGCTTGACTACTTTTGCTTGACTATGTTTGTTTCGGATCGTTGTCTTGCTGAAAAACCCATTTAATTGACATATTCCATTCAGCATGAGGTAACATAACATCTTTCAGGATATTTTTATACATGAAATGGTCCATTATTCCATCGATTCTATGTATTGGACCTAGACCATTAGCAGAAAAACACCCCCAGACCATTACATTGCCTCCACCATGCTTTACGATTTTTTGGCAGTAACGTAAATTGAGGCATTTTCCGGCCGGTCGACGTACACGGCAAATGCTATCGCTCCCAATGATGTTGAATTTTGATTTATCACTGAACAGGACAGTTCGCCATTTCTGCAAATTCCAGTCAATATGAGATGTAGCAAACAACTTTTCTTCTGGTTCTTTAGTGAAATCAGCGGTTTTTTGCAGGGCGTTGAGAAAACAACCCTGCTTCAACAGAACGTCGTCTGATTGTTCGGTCCGATACAGGCAGCTCTAATTGCTTTTGTATCTTGACTGATGATATCTAGGGATCCTTATTGACGGATCTGAGGATCATAGAATCCTCTCTAGAAGTGTTGGAGCGCGGTCTTCCATCTTTGTTATCTGCTGCCAACTTCCCCGCAGAACGATATTTGGAACATAGTCTTGATACGGTCCATTTTTTCACGCAATATTTATCACAAATACTTTTTTGTGACATTCCACTTACCCAGTTAACCAACCCAGCTGGGTCCCAGCTGGGATTGACTGGAATTGAGCTGGGATTACTGGAAATGGGTTTGGGCTGGGATTTGTTCTGGGTGCCAGATGGGTCCCATATGGTGTAAAAATAATGCCGCAAATAAAGTCTGGGTTTTTACTGGGATTGGCGTAAATGGTTTACGGCTAGTTTGAAGATGGGACGCGTAGTTTAATGGTAGCGTGTATTTCTAATCTAAGCAGATTTTTTGGCATCGTTTTTATTAAGAAGTTTTGTTGAAATAAAGTTACAAAACTACAATGTTAAATTTTTTTTTAAAATAGTTTATATGGTTTAGTGTGCTTACAGTAATGGCTTAGTGTGTTTAATTTTAATGTTTTTTCAAATAAATCTCATAGACTTTTTGAAAAACCTTTGAATTTGCTATGTTTTGTAAAATGACTTTGACAAATTTTATTTACAAAACATAGCAAAGTTTTACTATGTAGCACTGCCGTACGTAAACTTTACATATTTATTTTCACATAAATCATTTAATAAATGATTTATGTATTTATAAATAATATGCAAGTTTAACATACTTATGAAAAAATTTAAAATCATACATTTATTAAATGTAAGATTTTACATATTTTATAAGTAATATAGTTAATATATTTATCATAGTATAAGTAATATATTATCAAATATATAACATATAGAAAATGTTAAATCTTACATTTATATTATGCATTTATAAATGATATCTAAAGTTTATATATAGCAGTGTCAATTAGGAAAACCTTACTAATAGTCATACTATCACTTTACAAAACATAGTAATACTATGTTTTGTAAAGTGATAATATTTATAATTTGAGTTATATATAAATATTATAACTTTAATTTTAATTTGTAGTATAAGGTTTTATAAAAAAAAATATTTAAATAATTTATATTGTGAATTACTTGTAAATAATAGTAATTAATAATAAAAATAATAAACTGCCCAGTTAACCACAACAACTGGGTCCCAGCTGGAATGTAACTAGATTATTAGAACTGAGTTATGGCTGGGATTTGAACTGGGTAAAAGATGGGCTCATATGATGCAATGATTGCGACAAAAATTATGCTTGAAAATATGATATAAAATCTTTTAAAATGATATATGCAGTAACGCAGATTGATTTGGATTAAATATACACTTGCATTTAAAGTGAACAGGAAGTTAATTTGGTTCTATTTAGGTATTTTTGTAAAAAATAATTATTTACATATCAGTTTTAATTAATAATAAAAGTATAAATATTTTTATAGCAATATTTATATATTCATTTAACAAACAATTTTACAAAAAAAAAAACATAGCATACTCTTAATATACTTCTTAAATTCTAATTAACATACTTCTTAAATGCTCTAAATTTCATAACCATTAAAAAGTTTGAGAGTCAACGTTTACTTTTTTACAGACTTGTAAAATGTTTTATCAAACTGAAGACATATTTTTATTTTTTTATGCAATAGACAAATGTTGAAAGTTTTTCAAGATAGTTTTTATAGTTTGGTGTGCTAACAGTTATGACTTAGTCACTAAGTTACAAAAATGAAATACACTAAGTTAGTGTGTTTCATTTTAAATTATCTTTTTCATGACACTTTACAAAACATGGTAAGGTTTTACTAAGTAATACTGCCTTATCTAAACTTTCCATATTATTTATAAATACATAAATGTTTTACATTTTCTATAATTTATATAATTAATAATATAACACTTATATTATAAATACTGTAACTGATATTATAAGTTATAATATAAGGTTTTGTATGAAAAAATGTTTAAATTATTTATATTGTGAATTATTTGTACATAATATTAAGTAATAAAAAAAATTATTAGATGTTTTAACGTTTAGCTTTATTTATCTGAAGTAATAAGAAAATTATCACATTTTGTTTGAATATATTTATTTATTAAATACATTTTTTAATTCTTTAAAATATAAATATTTGTATATATTTTGATAGCAATATTCAGACATTTGTTTAAGAAATAATTTGGCTAGTCTAAAAGAGGGATATGTTGAGTTTTAAGTTTTAAGATGTTTTTTAATTATCACAGGATGTTATATAATTTTTTTAGAATATGTTCTGAAATAAAATAAATATACAATCATAAAATGCTACTCAAGTGCAATATAAAAATGAAAATGTAGTTTTGATACTAAATATTGCAAAAACTGAATCTTTCAATAATCATGAGTGTTTTGTATTTTTCACTGGCTATAGTAAGTTAATTTCATTGTGTTATTATATGATATCATATAGTCATATATAATATGTTTATTTACAAAGTTATAAAAGAGATATCAAATTTTTTTGGTAATAAATGTTTTATCTATGTTATTTTTGTAAACAACTTAATTAAATTTCAAATTTTAATAAAACTTTATTAAATTTATTAAACAGGTTCAATAGTATCTATGTTTTGTTTTTAGAGTTGGTTTGCGTTGATTTATGATTAACAACAGAAAATGCATTACTTCAACAAAGTTTTTTTCACATTAGTTATATAATCTCCTATGAAATGGTTCATCTAAATCTAGTAAGTTAACTCTTAATCTGACAACATTATTTTGAATATTTTTGTTTCTAAAAGTTCAGGAAAGTTTTACTTTCCCCGAGTTTTAATATCTCAAACTATTAGTTTACAGAGTTTGATAAAATAAATAAACCTGGAAAACCTGGAATACCTGGAAATAGCATGAATTCCAGGGAAAACCTGGAATACTCTGGGATTTTTCTAAAATTTTAATAAAATTCAGGGAAAACTCAGGGAAAATTTTTTTTTTTTAAATTTTGTACAATTAGGAAAATTTTTTTAAAAAATATTTTGCTAATACATATAATAATAAGTTTGCTAGTTGTGGGTGTTGTTGTAAAAGTTTTAGTTTGTCAAATATAACGATTGTGTTTAATTAAGGAAAATAATAATCTTGTTGATGAACAGAAAAGAATATAGAAAAGTCAGGGAAAACTCAGGGAACTTAACGAGTTCAACACAGGGAAAAATGTTCTTTACTCAGGGAATACTCAAGGAAAAACTTTAAAAATTATAGTGGCAACCCTGATTAAATAATTTCTGCATATTAAAAATATATAGAATTTGCAACATATACAGGTTTTTCCTAATATTGACCTGGGCTTCTGTGAATGGATAAGTTCTGTGAATAGAAGATCGACTGTGAATCTCTAGGAAATGTGAATGTTATTATGATAGCACATATTTTTAGATCAAGAATAGTGTGTTTTACATTATTTTCATTACATTATTGATAAAAAACATTTTTAAAACTACATATACAGTAGTGTGACATGATTTGGAATAAATATACATTTAAAGGATTTTTCACATAAACTTCATTTGGTACCTCAATGGTAGTTTGTTTTTATTTTTATTTTCATTTATCTGTTGATTAGTAGAATAATATTTACTAGTAATAATATTTATATATGGTAAAGCATGTATGTTATTCGTGCAATATGATTTCAATAGTCATTTTTTTAATAGTTTAAAGGCAGCATGTATTGTCATCAATACATGCTGGCATTGTCACAATGTAGTAAAGTTTAAAAGTTATTTATGTATAATGATTTTATAAACCAATTTGTTAGAGTGTTATATTTTTTAGAATCTACTGTGAAATAAGTTTAATATATAATCACAAAATGTAGCTCTAGGACAACATGAAATTAAACAATAAATTTTGGTCCACAATAATTAAAATACGTTATGTTAGACTAATCATGAATATAACTATTATATATAATAATATAAGTACTCTACACTTGTTTATAATTGTAAATTTTCATTGTGAAAATAATTTTATTACAAAATTTATTGTGGTCAAAATTACAATTGTTTTTAATTTTTTTCAATATGTTTAAACTGTAACAAATAATTATTTTCAAGTAATAATATAACTTAAAATGATTATTGTTTAATTAAGTACAATCAAAATGTTAGTGATATTGATTATTTTTGCATTTATTAAATTATATAAAAGATATTAAACCCTCACCAACTGATTTAATGGTTTGATGTCAGGTTAACTTGAGTCAAGACTTTAAATTTTAAATGGTAACATAGTATTCATGCTATATTATTGTTGTTTATAAGTCTATTTATGTCATGCCTAATTATTAACATCAGTTATTTACTATGAAATAACATTGTTTTAGATTCCCTGCAGGATGCCTGTTAAAAAGAAAAACTGAAGAAACTTTAAAACTAGATGATGCCAACTAAAGAAGTTGAAACACCTTTGTTTATGGTGTCATATCGAGGCTTCAGTTTTCCAATATTTATTTTTATATTTTACTATATGTTATGTTTATTTTATTTTTTATTTTTGTTATTTTTGTAACAACAAACTATGTGAATAATTAATTGTCCTGCCCTGTGCCTCTACTTCAATCTGGCTATTATAACATGTATATCGCTTTATATACTGTATTGAGTTAGCTTGTGATTTGTACATGTGTTTTTGTTTGCCTAGTGTTTGTTAGTTATATGCAAGATATGGCATGGTATGGCACACTGCATGGTATGCTCTAAATAATATTATCAAAAAAAAATTATATCTATACTTTGTAAATATATATGCTATAATTTATTATATTATTCAAACGTTTATTTTTAATTTATAAAATTAGTGTAAAAGTGGATGAAAGCACTAAAGAAAACGATAACGATAAACTTTAAAGCAGAATCTTGTCATGCGATTATGGTGGCGATATGAGAGAACTACTGTGGCAGAACTACTGTGGAATGGTTAACTGGGTACGTAATCGCCAATAATTTTCTTTCTTATTCCAACCCAAGACTTTCAGGAGCCATTTTTGCACTTGAAGTCATAAAAATAATAAAAATAAATAATCACACTTCTCAAGGCTTACCATGTTACATTTACCTTGTGATGATACAATAATGCTCTGTGGAACACAACATCTTGGTTGGATGTGGACTGTATTGATGCAATGAAACACTTGTTGTATTTCACTTCTTGTATTGATGATCTTTGATAAAACACTTTGATAAAACTCACTTCGATAAACTGTCTTGATAATACTGACTGATTGACTTCCATATACTGACTGAATTACATGTCGGTTTCCATGTCTCTTATATAGTAAAATGAACCTGTGTGAACCTGTTCTGGAGGATTCTAGATGCTTCTTTTTGATGCTTCTGGGAGCTTCTGGATGCGCCTGGATGCTTCTTCTAGAAACTTTTGGAAGTTTCTGCATGCTTCTGAAAACTTCTGGATACTTCCTTTTATTATTAAAAAACTTCCATGACGTTGACACTGACCAGACTTGAGAAAATGAAACAAACCAAAAAAGTTGCACTTGTTTTGTCCGCTGCAAAATGGCACTTGTCAACGAAATTCTGCCTGTGTGCTATCACCTGTCAGCTGATTGCTCATGTCATGGCATGCTATGACTCCAGACTCCTTTTTAGCATTGTTTGATGTTGGTTGCAAATGTTTTGTCCAATATTGTAAATATATTTAAGATTTATAATATTTAATTTTTTATTTTTAGTGACTCCATAAAATATGTCTTTATACTGGTATAAAGACTAAGAGATGTTAGGAAACAAGCTTTTCAGTTAGCTGATGCTAATAAATTGGCTATGCCAGTCGAAACAAATTCTGAAACAAAAATGCCTCAAGCTTTAAAAGGATGCAGTTTTAGCAGAAGATTTCACTTCAGCATCAAGCTTGACTTTGTCATCACAAAAGCTTTCAACATCTCATGTGGAATCAAATTTTGAATGCTCTCTAGTGATAACAGATAAAGTAAGACAATCACCAAAGGCAATAGAAAGAATTCAAAAACATACGCAAGAAGATGACTTTAACTTTATTAACTGATTCACCATTCAAAAATTCTGTGAGACTATCAAATTTACAGCCATGACCAAAAAAGAAAAAGTTCTGCTAATGGATCAAATGTTGTGTGTGCTGACAAATGGATCAAATGTTGCTTGTACTCAAGCTGAACACATGAAGAATGTACAGCATGAGGTCCCAGCTACATTTGCCATAATTACAATTTTTAATATTCAATATCAAAGTTTTTTAGTGTATAAATTATATTTTTGTTTCTTTTTTTATATAAATGATTAATAAAATACTTGTTTTTTTCTTTTGACATATTTTTTTGCAGTCTGTAGGTCTTATAAAGTCAAAGCATTTGACTTTATAAACCAACTGTAGGTCTTATAAAGTCAAATGCATTTGACTTTATAAGACCTACAGATAAAGTATAACTATGACAATTCATAATTGCTTCCCTTTACATTATTTTTACCTCATAACTTGCTCTTCCTTACATTATTTTTACCTCAAGATATGCCACCAGGTTTATGTTGTATGTTTTTGGTCATAAAACATGTTTAACATTAAGTTAACATTAAATTAATTTTTTTAATCAATAAAGCAAACATTTTTAAAAGAAAAAAAAATTACGCCAACTTAAACCAAAATTCATTAAAAAAATTCAAGTTTAATTATAAAGTGTTTTTTCAGAATAAAATGTAACACCCTTTTGTATTAAAATTGGGTGTAAATTTTACATGGTTACTGTTTCTAAAGAGCAAAAGGTTTTAGGATGAAATTTAGATTTAAATAAAGAGCTTTTTTTTTAGGATTAGATGACGTTTTTATTGCATATTTTTTTTCCAAAGTATTATTTTTCTCAATGGGGATAAAAAATATTAAGGTATTTTTGTTTCCAAGCTCGAATAGCCATAATTTTCTGTAAAACGTCCTCATATGACACCATAATGATAACGTAAAAGTTTTGAGTTTGCACCCACACCTGGAGGATGGGCATCTCAAATAAAAAAATTTCTAACCTAACTGTTTAAATACAAAATGCTTTTTTTTGCAATATTTCCCAGAGTTGTGGACTAGCAGAGAAGATTGTATACATGGTTTTAACAGTTCAAAAGAGTCTCAGCATCTGTACAGCTCAAGGCAGCATTCTGTCCACACAAATTAAATGAATTAAAATCATAGGGTAAGAATATAGACAATGAGTTCTTTTTTTGTAGGATTGCTTTAACACCCTTGTATTTTGACATGTTGGCTCCATTGTAATAGCCTCAAAAAGGCAGCTTTCAAAACAAATTTTTCAACTTTTCAAAGTTTATAGAACTAAAATTGCAATATCAGATCCAGTCTTCTTGGCAAAATATGCATATATCAAAAACCGCTTTTCAATTGAAAATATTTCAGGTTCTTCTTCAAGTTAATATCCAATAACAAATTGCTCAGTACAACTCACATCAGTACCATTATTGAAAAATACTTCTCAGACTTGAATTCTTCTATAAATCACCTTTGAACCTCAGCTGCACAAAAAACAATGAATTCATTCATTTTGAGAATGTTTTGACAATTAATGCCTCTGAAGCCATTGACCCTTTTCCTATGATTATATTGAATCACATGTTCCTTGAGAATTGGGTCATATTACAAAATCAGTTTTAGTAATTCTAAGAAATTTCCATTATGAGGATTTCCAATTATGTCAGATTTTCCACAAAAAATCAATCCACGTTCACCAATAAACAGATTTGTTCACATCAAAGATTTATTGTAGGATTTTTTTCCAAATGGCTGCTTCATGGAGGATTTAACAATTTACAAAATCTTCAATTGACTGATCTTTTTTTTTTCAAAGTTTTCATTCAAAGTTCCAATTCACGTCATTGAATGTAGCATTGTTTATGGACTTTTAAGTGTTCATGCTTAGGAATTTGATTGATTAGATTTTTCAAATTCTTTCCATATCCTCATAATCCAATCATTGCAAGGGATAAAGTCAAGTGTAGAACTTTTTCGGTGAAAATAATTGACATGGGAAAAAAAATATTGCTGAGCTCAATACAAGCCAATCTCGCAAGAAAGATTCCCCATTTGGTATGCTGCTTTCCAAAACAGACATTAGAAATATGTAATTTCTATTATCTTTTTGCATATCCAGTGGAGAGGAAAAGTTACCAGCCTTGACAAACCTTTTCAGCTGAGTTGAAGAACAATTTTCAGTTTTAAAGTCACCATTCATTTTCATCACCAAGTCATTTTCAGTTTTAATATCAAATGCTGCATCAAAGTTGGTCCAACAGTGCTAGTGGTCTTTGTAGAAGTATTATCACTATCAACAATTCGACTATCTTCAAATTATCTGATTTTTTTTTTTAATTTTTTATATAATAATTAAATAAATTAAGTTATGTTTATTATTATTAACTTATAAATTAAATTACATAATCAAGCAAATCATCTGTAAAAAAAAAATCTTCATTGTACGCCACTTTAATATTTTTTTTTGCACTATATTTAATCACATGACAATTTTTCCACAAAATTCATAATCAGCTTATAAATAAGGTTAAAAAAAAAAAGCTTTTCCAAACCAGGGTTTTTTCTATTGATTATGATAAAACTTGCTTGTTCTATTGTTGGCAGCATTGAACATTTTGTATCATATGAATGTGCAAAGCTTTAAGGCATAATGACAAAAAGATGGGGAAAAAAGAAGGAAAAGAACCCGGAAGTTTATTGTATTTCTGCGGGCAAATTTTGCTCGGTTGACCCATCCTCTGCACGGCCCTGCATACACTGTATTTATATACAAAATAGTTTTTAAATGTATTTACAATTGATTCTTTAGCTTGAACTACTCACATATTAATCCAAAATCTGAACAATTATTTTTTGTAGCAAGTTGGTAATTTATTAATTTTTAAACCAGATAGCAAGTTGAAATAATATTATTGAAATATATATTAAAATAATAGGGCAAGTTAGTTCAATGTTTATAAAGAAAATAAAAATCATTTCATTAATAAAATTTCAAAATGCAAAAGATTGTTACTTAATATTTTCCCTCTCCTCTCAAATGAACAAGCATTTTAGATATATCATTTGATATTTATATTTAAACTTTATTTCATAAAGTTTATGCTATACTTACAAAAAAACTGCAAAATTATGTAGGTACTTAGCACAAGGCCACAAGCTGAACACTATATATAAAAATCGTTACACTCTATTTACAGTGGAAAGTTATCAGACAAAAAAAAATAAATAATGCTATTGTTTACTATCATGAGTACCCTGCCATGCCTTGCGAGGTGCATACAATCTTAAAACATTAATTAGCTTAAAGAATTACCATGTGCATAAAAGTTTGGAATGTATTTGCTCATTCAATGAGAAAACATGTGGGAAACTTGTATGTATTCACAAGGATAGGGTTTGTTGGTGAAAATGATACTCATGCTTATCTGACTACTCTGCAGGTTTTAAAAAGTTTATATCAGCTACAGTGCATGCGACGAATAAAATTGCCCAGCACGATATATCGAGCTCGTTAAAAATTGGATCCCATAGGTCATCCATAATTTACATGGGGAGGGGGTCACCCAAAAGCCTACCAGTGTGTTCAAGTGAAAGGGTTGATTTTTTTTTTGAATTTTTTTTTAAGTGAAGTCTGAGAAATCAGACGAAAAAGCTATGGTTTTTTCTTTATGCATTAGTCTATCTACCGGAAAAAATATGTTACTGCAACTTTGATATAAAATAAAATCAATGAAATATCGCGTAGTTTTATTTAGTTTTGGTCAATCTTAAAAATTTTAATTTATTTCAAATCAAACTCATTATTAAAAAAATATTCATCAGGTGCATTTTAAAATTTTGAATTTTATTTGATGTTTTTGAATTTTAAAAATAATAGCCATTAATAAATAGAATGTGATCAAATTTGTACAAAATAGAAGCTATTAGTGAAGTTTTAGTTTAATAAATTATTTTAAATAAAATATTATACTTAATATTTAATTTTTACACATTCAAAGTTTGGAATTTTTATTGAAGTGTTGCAAGTTTTAATATTTTATTACATAGTCTTTAATACAATTCAAAGTAAAAGTCCTAGTAAAGTGAAGTTTTTTGTCAAATGAACAAAAAAAACTGTGCAAGTTAGCAAATGATTTAACTTAACCAGGGTACAATTAAGTATAACATCATAAAGTTTAACTGGGAAAAAAAAATATCATGCTGAATTTAACTTTCAAATAGAAGTAAATCATTGGCTCTCTTGCACTGAGATTTTTAATTTTAATTTATATGTGACATACTTAAAGAATATAACTTAGCTGGTATTATTTAGGTATTATTTAACAATATGCTCTTCTGTTTAATTAAACATATTTTAACTTCAGCCAAAAAATTTTACTAAAAATAATTTCTATAAAATCAACTTATAATTCTCTTAATAACTCCCTCGCAAATTCTTTAGATGAGTGCAATTTTTACTTGTAATGAAATAAGAGAGCACTATTTGTCATGTCCATAAGACTATTTACGGCCATGTTTCACGCGCGTGGAGCAATTGCTCTCACTTCATCACAAGGCCTGCAGCTACAACATATACTGTCTACAAGAATATTAGAACCAAGTTTACTAAAAGGTGAAAAAAGATACGATAGGGATAAATATTGTGTTATTTTAATTTATTGTTTTAACCCTTTCATTACCAGTCACCCGCTATGCGGGTTATGATATTTTTTAGTAAATGTGACCATGCTAAATACGCCATTTAATTACCTAACTAAGGCTAAAAAAAGAGGCTTTTAAAAAATATTTTGGCGGCCATTTTTTTGACAAACAAAACGAGATATCGTTTGTGAAATTCTGACAAATAATTTCTATTTTAACAGGTGATTACTAAAAATCTGGACAAAATTGCTTACATCATATTTCTATATGCAACTAATAATTTTTTCAAACAATTTTTAAAATGTTGCAAATTTATTCTTCTTTTAAAATATATATTAACTTTTATATAAGTATTTTAAATTTAGTATTAAAAATGACGTCAAACAAAGAGCTCCAGAGAAAACGTGTGTACTAGTTTTATCAAGAAAATTCAGATAAACCTAAATCATTCACTGTTTATCATTTTAAAGCAAAAAACTTATCAAGATCGACTATATATGGAATTATTAAACTTGTAGAAGAAGATAAACCATTTGAAAGGCAAACTGGTAGTGGTAGAAAGCCAAAAATAATGACTAAGCGCCATCAGTCAACTTACCAAGCTTTTTGACCATAAATGTGGGATTTCTCAGCATATAGCTTAAAAAAAGTTCAAATGTTCTCAGTCACTTATTTCTAAGACATTGAAAACCAAAACATCAATAAAAAAAAGAAAACAAATGAAGATTCCAAGTCGAACTGAGAGCCAGAGAGCAAAAAACCGACGTTTGTGTGGTCAACTTTATAAAAATTATAAAGATTTTATTTAAGTTCTTGATGACGAGTCTTATTTTACTCTTTCAAGTAACATCGAATTAATACCAAACAATGTTAAATTCAAAGAAAAAAAGAAATTTGAAGAAAAATTATTGGTTTACGTGGTCATTTCGCCTTTTGGCCTATCAACTCCATACATTGTACAGTCTGGAACTGCTATTAACCAGCATATTTATGTTGATGAATGTTTGACTGAAAAACTATTACCACACATCAAACAGCTTCTAAAAAATACCAAATACATATTCTGGCCTGATCTAGCAAGTGCCCATTACTCAAACAAAGCTGTTAGTTTTTGAATGAAAATGGTATAAAGTTAGTAACAAAAAGTGAAAACCCTCCAAATATGCCTGAATGTCATTGTATTGAGGATTTTCGGTCTTGTATCAAAGGAGATGTTTACAAAAATAGTTGGCAGGCAGAGAATTTGGATCAATTACGCTCTAGAATAATTTACTGTTTTAAGAAATTCGACAAAGAGCTGGTACAACGCTTGGCAGAGTCTACTAGCAGAAGACTTGACACAATAAGAAGACAAGGCCTTGTTGAATTAAGATAAACGTTTTTATTAAAATTTGAATAAATTTGCTATTTTATTCTTTTTAAAACAATAAATTAGGTCTTCTAGATTAAAAGTTATTTAATTTTTAGTTTTGTCCAGATTTTTAGTAATCAACTGTTATTTTTAATTGCTAATAACATTTTGCTTACAATTGTTTTTTTGTATTTTGTTTGGTAACAAAAGAGTTAAATATAATATATAGAAGTTAATTTTTGGATGCACAAAAAGTTGCCTTTTTCAGCTTTTCTCAACCGCATATAAACAGCAGGAGTTATGTGGTGTGGGTAGTTATTAAACTACATCTCAAGTGACTTATTAAACTACATCTCAAGAACCACATAAGAAAGCACCATAAAAAGTTATTCAACATTAAGTTCAGATACATATTGTTTTAATCAAATCAAAAAGGGTATAGTATCTATTGTATGTATCTAACTATTTAAATTGGCATTTTTTTTTTAACAAGAATTCAGGTTTTTTTCTCTTATTTTAGAAACTATGCCTCAAAATTAGAAAAGAAAAAAAAAAGCTGATGTTATAAAACAAGTTACACTTAAGAAGACCTAGAAAAAGCTGTAATTAAGTGATAAAACATGAATTTATCTTTAGAAAGGCTTCTAAAACTTATAACATTCTATTAGGAACACTACATAAAAAATTATTTATGTAGTGTTCCTACATAAATGAGTTTATTTATGTAGGAACACTACATCATTACAGAAAAAACAATTCTGTTAAATTTGACAGAAATGTTTTATCTGCGCATGCTTATCGCGGCTTCGCGCAAATATTTTTGTTTTATGGAAATCCGCCTTTATGTTAAAATATTCAACATGAGATAATATTTGACAGTTCATAAAAACAAAAAATACAATAATCGTTTAATATTACATGTCCCTTCATTTTTACTTTTTAAAACATTTTCAAAACATTTTTAACACTATTTATTTCCCCTTGCTTTAGTTTATGAATAGTTCTTCTTTGGATCAATAAAGTAAGCTTACATTGTCACAAATAAAATGTGATTAAGTAACAGGGAGACAAGAGGAGAAGGGGAATATACAGCAATTTATGTAACATTTAAAAACAAATAAAGTCGTAAATATAAGAATAAATTTAAAAAGTGCAAACTAAAAAAAGCAAGAAAATGGAAAATTAGACCATTCAAAAAACTAACTGTTACAAATATAAATCATATACCTGAATTCGTTGTGACATTTAATCCGTATTTTGTTTTTACTGTTAATGTCGTATTCATGTTGTTGAACTGATAAACCATACAAGTTAGTACATAAGTGTCTCCAGGCAAAAGAGAAAGTGTAGTTTTGTTACTTAAACTGTATTGTTGAATAAAAGCTGTTTTTGAATGAGCTGTTATTATGTAACTTGTGGCATTAGGAACTGCATCCCATGCTACATCCACTGTAGTTTTATATATTGGTGAAACAACACGAAAATTTGTAATCTCCTGAAGTTCTGAAAATATATATAGTTATAAAGCTTTTAGTTCTTTAAAATCTTATTTTAAAACATTGAATAAACCTTTATTATTACTTGCAGCTGAAAGCCAAATAAATTTGTGAAAAATTACTTTTTTTTAGTCATGGCTATATCATTAATTTTCAATTAGCAATAAATCATTTTAGAATCTTTCAATAAAGACAAATAACGGTTTTGTAAACAATTTTTTATGGAGTACATACACTTTTTGTTAATAAAAACACATGACATATTTTAATAACAGATGCTTAATTGTGTGGGTATAGATAACCATAAATCTCAAAAACTTTTTTCTTGAAAATAATAAATATTAGGATTTTCTTATGTTATTAATAAATAATAAGTTTGAAATATTAATTTCCATTTTTATACTTTTGGCTCAATTTTTTAAAATTTGCTCACTACGGATGCACCTCCGCCAAACAAAAAACAAACAAAAAAAATTCAAAATGAATATGGTACTGTTGAATAACTAAGTGCCATCTATTAAAATAATATAAAAATGCTTGATTTGATTTTCAGGCCGTAAAAAATAAATATTTATAAAAGTAAATATTGACATACCATTAGTTGTAGTAAAACTATACCAACTGCTTTGTGCAGCATAGTTTGGTTGTATATTATTTATCGAAGAGACTAAAACCATGACGGAGTAACTGGTCATACTCTTTAGGCCAACTATGTTTTCAAACGTTTGAATAGTTTGTAATGTCATTTCATCAGAAATATCACCTCCAGTATAAACAACTGTATACAAAGTAGCATTTAAAAATGTATCCCAAGAGATTCTGAGGCTTGTACTTGTAGGTAATAAAATAAGATTGGTGACATCAGGAAAGATATCTAAATGCAATATATTTAAATTTTACTGGATGAATATTTTCTTAAAAGAAATAGGTTAATTTCATTTTAAAAAGTTATGTATTATTTAAAAACAAAGTCACTAATAAAATAATAAATTTAAAAAGTAAGAAAATGGAAAATTAAACCATTTAAAAAACTGTTACAAATATAAATCATTTACCTGAATTCGTTGTAACATTTAATCCATATTTTGTTTTTACTGTTAATGTCGTATTCATGTTGTTAAACTGATAAACCATACAAGTTAGTACATAAGTGTTTCCAGGCAAAAGAGAAAGTGTTGTTTTGTTATTTGAACTGTATTGTTGAATAAAAGCTGTTTTTGAATGAGCTGTTATTATGTAACTTGTGGCATTTGGAACTGCATCCCATGCTACATCCACTCTAGTTTTATATATTGGTGAAATAACACGAAAATTTGTAATTTCCGGAGGTTCTGAAAATAAATGTAGTTATAAAGCTTTTAATTCTTTTAAATTTTATTTTAAAACACTGAAAAAACCTTTATTATTACTTGCAGCTAAAAGCAAAATAGATAAGTGAAAATTGCTTTTTTTTAGTCACGACTAGATATGAATACTGCTTTTTTATAAATTAAATGCATGCTGTTAAGCATTTTCCTTTAAACATCACAAATGATTAGACATTGCCATTTTATTTTCAATGACGTTGGTTACTGTCATTAATCATTCTAATAATAACTCTATGACCCAGTAAACACAAGAAGAGTTATATATACATATATATATATATATATATATATATATATATATATATATATATATATATATATATATATATATATATATATATATATATATATATATATATATATATATATATATATATATATATATATATATTTAAACATCTTAAACAAAGACATCTTTTATATATCTTTATAAATACATCTTTATAAAAGACATCTATAATGTGCCTTAATAAAAGATATCTTTTAAAACGTGCCTTTAAAAGACAGGTTAGCATTTCTGTAACTTTCAGTTTGAGCATTTGAATTTAAACATTTAAAGGAAAAATGTTAGAATTTTTACAGCTAAAATTTTCACATTTTTATAATGGTATAAATAAATATTATTACATTCTATTTAAGTAGATTTGAATATGTTTTTTTTTACATGAAAATATATATTTTAATAAATGACAAATGCATTGCGGTGATCAAGTATTTTCAAAAAAGAATTTTCATATTTTGAGATAAAAACTTGTAATTAACCCTTATCAGATATGGATCAAAAAAAAGCTGCAGTAAGCAGTAATATTTTGATAACTGATAAGGATTCATTAAAAATCCTTGATTGAGAAATATTCATGCAAATTTTGTTGTGTACTTCTTAAAAAAGTTAGAGAAAAAATGTACATAAAAAAGAAATGTTGATTTTATAAGTAACCATTAACTTAAAGTTACTCTTCACAATGCTGAACTGAAAAGTTCTAAATGTTTTGAGTGGAAAAGTTTTTAATTTGTTTTGAGTGGAAATCACTCAGCTGCTTCTTACTAAACTTTTATTAAACCACTTGGCAAACGTTATTGGTAAGCGTTGTTGGTAGTATGAAAGTAGTAATTTGCATCTAGTGTCTCCACACATAAAAAGAGTTCCTTGAAATAAGACATTAACATGCTGCACTTTGGAATTCAAACATGTAAGACTTTTCTTCATATTGGGTACAAGCAGAACAGAAACCTCATATGCGTCTGTCTTTTTAAAACAAAAAAAAAATAAAGTTTTTTTCTTTGTATCCAATTCCTCCAACGCTTCATAAGAATATAATATAATTTTATTTATTTGCTTTTTTTCCATTTTCTGACCATTTTATGGAGATAAAGTAAAAATAACTAAATTAATTAGTTTAGTACAATTAGAAAATTTTAAAATTCAAAAAAAAAAAAAAAAAAAAATTTAAAAATCATAAGGATTACTTGTTTTTTAAATCTCTGAATACAAATTAGACATAGAGTTACAAAGTTCAGTAATAGTTGATTCAAATCAACTATATTTTAAAAAACAATTAATAAAAATGCACTTCAACCCAAACACCACAACTTAATTCGCTCAACATTAACCCAATGCATTTGTTATTGTTGGGACGGACAAAAATTTCAGTTGGCTGTATATTTTTGTTGCTTTTTCGGTTTATAATGGATTACCCATTGTGTCTACATTTGCATTATATACACTTAGCATTGTTTGCAATACATTGGCTTACACATGGTTTTAAATTCTAAGTGATACCTTGGCTAAACTAAATGTTAAAGTTAGAGAATGGATTTGCATATTGTTAGGCTCCAATTAAGTGATCAGGATCTGCAATATCTAGAAATAGTTTTGATCATTAAATTCTCTTTTTATTAAAAACTGTGAACACAGTTTTAATGAAACACTCAATTTATCATGTTGAAAAAATTAATGAAAAAACAAAACAAATTTACTACTGCAAAAATAATAATAGTCAAAACTTACATATTATTAATTATAGTTTTTTTAAACAAAAGGTAATTTAAGTATTATAAATAAAAATAAAAAAACTATAAGAAAAAAGTATTATTATTATTTGGTCCGAAAAATGTGTACGGTAATTCACCAAATAAAAAATAAAAATGTATTATATTTATATAATAAACTTTTTTTTTAATAAAATTAATTAATAGTAATGCATTATATTTATGTTAAAGTTACTTGCACATTGTATGAAACATTAAAATTGATTTTTGTTAAAGGGTAAAGTTTGAGGAATTACTTTTTTAAAAATTTAAATGTTTTAAATTAGAAATTAATTGATAATAAAAATAATAATAAAAAAGATATATTTTAAAATTTTGAGTTTTTATTTTGTTTTAAAATAATTACAAAAAGTTTAAATTAGTTTTTATATTTATAAACTCCTCTTTTATTTTCTTTTATTTAAAAGAATTTAATAATATAGTTATAAAAGTATTTTATATCTTATTTTACGATTAATTTTAAATATTTGACCACTGCAAAATTCCTTAAGACTGTTGTGATTAGCTGTTATTCTTTAATAATTATATTTTATTTTATTGTGCTTTATTTTTCTAGTTTTATCTTATAATTTATAAAATAAATTAAAATATCAAAGTTTAAATCATAAATTTATATCATATTTTTATCATCAATTTAAATAATTTTTTATTGCATAACAGCTACTTTGAGTTTAGTGATCAAAAAAGAGTTTAATGTTTTTAAAAAGCTAAAAAGTTAAAAACTGGAAGCATTTCTAGATATTGCAATTCACGATCACCTAAATGGAGCCCTGTAATGCATACTTATTGGGTTGACCTTACATTGGTACAGCATTAGTGTAAAATGCTATGATCCTAATGAAGTGTTACGGTTGGTGTTGTATTGACATATGATTGAACCTACATCAGTATTGTGTATACTCAATGTTGTTTGCTGGGTTGGTAATACATTGGGCTATCACTGGTCAAACTTATCATTTTTTAATATTTTTGAATCCTATTGCTTATCCTTCAAGATGATTTTCGCCAAATTAATTGTCAATCAGAGTTGAAATGTTTAGTACTTTTAAGCAATAATTTACTTTTAAGCAATAATTTACTTTTAAACAATAAATTACAAACTTTTAAGCAATAATTTACATTTGAGAATATCATTTTTACAAAGATTTTTGTAATTTCATATTTATAATAATATAAACTAATATTTGAAATAGTAACATTAGTTGTTATATACTTATGTATATTTATAAGTTAATATATACTTATATTATATTTATTTTTAAAAAAAGTATATTGTATTATTTTAATAATTTAAAATACATTTTTATTTATTCTGCTTTAAATATTTTGTTACACTTTTTCTTTCATACTTTTTTTTATTATTATTTTGTTGATGTTGTGGTTAATTGCTTCTCAGTTAATTGCCATGTGGAGGCCACATACCAAGATCTGCAATATCAAAAAGAAATGTAAATTATATAAATATTATATAAATATCAAAAGATGTTTTTTTATTTATAAAAAAATCCTAGTATAAAAAATTTTTATGCAAGTGAACTGATTTTTTTGGAAAAAGTCTGCTAATTTGGGTGCTCCAACTTTGTATATATAATTATGTGTAATTTTACCGACTATTTATTCAGTGACAGAATTTTGAGGAAATTAATAGAACTTTTATATATTGTCAAACTAGTTTTTCAAATTATATACCTACCAGAAACATGGTGCTTAGTTAAAGAAATTTAAAATAATTCTAACTTTCAACTTATTAATTATAAAGGTATTCATTTAATTAGAGGTTCTGAAAAAGCAAGCAAAGGAGTGTGCGTTTTCATCAACAATTCCTTACATTGCACAGTGGGCCAGAGGTTAGCAAACCTCTTCAAAACCAACTTTTATATTGATGTAATTTCTTTTTGTAAATGTAATCTAGAGACCCCCAGCACTCAAAATTTGATATAATTTTTTACCTACTTTTTGGTTTTTGAGCTCTGTATATCAATTTTACAAATTTCTTAAAAGTTTATATTAGTCCGTTGACATCATATATTGAAATAAGAAGAAGAAATAAAAAAAATTATTTTTATGCTTGCTTTTTTTCAAAGTGTTTTTCAATAAAACCGCTTAAAATGCGCAACATTTTTTTAACATTTACTTTTACACAAGCAGAAAAACACAAGGCCGCACATGCTACTTTAAATTACACTTTTATATATAGATAAAAATTTACAACCAAATTTTCTGAGTTCATCTGAGCGTAATATTTTGCAAGGCTTTTTATTATAAATGATATCTAATCGAAAATTTTGCTTTAAAAACTGAAGACACATAAAGAACAGTTTTAATCATTTAAATTTTGTTAAAATCCTTTTAAAACACAAAATATTAAAATAAAAAAAAACCCAAAATTTCATCCCTCCCTCACCCCAAACGTAAGGGCAACAAGTTGATAAAATATTTTTTTGAACGCTGAGAGATACTATGAAACTTAAAATTTACGGATGAATATAAGTCTAGTTAAGAATAGCATAAAAAATATTTTATTAACTTGTTGCCCTTACATCTCAAACACCAAAAAATGCTGGATTCATCACTGAAGAAAATATTTATTATTTGTATTTATATATGCAAAAAATTTTTATTTATGTAAAAAGAAGAGTTTAGTTAAGAGTTAAAATTTCTTATTGTGTTAGAAGTGAGAAAACTACATCATCTTGTACTTTCAGTTTTAATGTTGTCTAAATAACTTTTCTAAAATGTTTTCATCTACAAAATTGTACTTTAAATGTGTCTAATGTGTTTTGTTCATTTAAATAACGCCTATAAAATAAAAAAACAGTAATTGTGAAAAATAATCATTTCATACACCATGTTTTGGACTAAAACAACAGAGAGCACTACACAATAAAATTCTCCAGGCCTCAAACAAATTATGA